GTGTGTGTGTGTGTGTGTGGTGTGTCGGGGTAAACCAGTGAGATCTGCAGCATGCCTGGTGTGTGTGTGTGTGTGTTTGTGTGTGGTGTGTCAGGGTAAACCAGTGAGATCCGCAGCATGCCTGGAGTGTGTGTGTGTGTATATGTGTGTGTGGTGTGTCCCGGTGAACCAGAGAGATCCGCAGCACCCTGCGCCAGTCTGCCATGTGCCCATCTTAGAGGCTCCTTGCTTGTGTCGGGAGGACAGTTCATACACATCACCTGCCCCTGAAAGCCTATGTCTGGTGAACCAACCCAGCTGCCCTGACACCCATGATTTCCATCCCTCTGTGGCCCCTCAACATCTAGTGGTTTTGATTCAAAAGAGCTCGTGTGGGTGACGAGGCTGCTTCGGGGACATGCGGGATGGCAGCCCGGGGTTCTCCCCGGTCCACAAGCAAGGGGCGTTCGACTCCTCTCACCACGTAGTGCGTCTCTAGCCGCTGGAATTCTTGCAGTTTTACCAAACCACGATCGACCGTGTCCAAAGAGAAGGGACGTCGGCCACACGGTGGCAGGAGTCCGCTCAGTGTGGGTGGCAGCCGGTGAGGGACACGGGCACTGGTGGAAACATACTGGCGATAGCGCTGATTTCTTCCAGGGAAAACCATCACGCTGGCGAGGAGCATGGACATTCCCAGGGCGGTGCACAACTTCCGCTTCTTTGCCTCCTCCCTCCTTCACCACACGTCGGAGTGCACGCACATGGACCACGCGGGCTGCCTGCACTACACGGTGCGCGCGCCCGTGGGCATTGGTAGGTGCTGGCGGCGCGGTGCCCCAGGGAACGAATGAGGGTAAACTCGTGCGTGAGTACTAGGCTTTTTTGGGCTCCCTGCTAATTAGGGAAAAAACAAACAAATCAGAGTGGATCAGGGCATGGATTCTGGAACAGCCGAGGGATAAGGGGCTTCAACTCTGTGCCCTTCAGTACTCGATTTTAAAAGCCAGAACAGTTGAGTTTCGCCATGTGCTATGTGGGGTAACTACATCCTTAAGTGTAGTATTTGGAATCATCTCTGGTATGTGGCCACCTGCTTCGTGAAGATTAAACCCAGCGGCTCCCAGCCCACGACAACAACAGCGACAGCAACAACCACATAGATTAGAGGTTCTCAACCTGTAGGTCGTGACCCCTTTGGGGGTCGAACGACCCTTCACAGGGGTCACCCTATTCATAACAGTAGCAAAATGACAGTGTTGAAGTAGCAACGAAAATGATTTTATGGTTGGGGGGTCACCACCGCATGAGGGGCTGTATGAAAGGCATGAGGAAGGTTGAGAACCACTGACTAGATTATGTATCTCCCTCCTCTTCCTCCATTTATTTGCCCTTTGGGGACAATAAACATCTACAGTGGTTAAAATCTTCCAGTAGATGGCACTCCTTCCTCTGGGGCGTGGAGGCATCTCAGCCACCCACCTGTAGTTCATTAGTTACATTTGATGAAAATCCTTTATAAAAGGGAAAAAATGGGATATTTTACCATTTCGATTCTTTGAACCTTTTGGGAAAAAAAAAAATCATATTTGCAAGGCATTATGGGAAGTCACAGTTCCTCCTAAAAAAATAGGTTTGGTAATAGGGTCTCCTGGAAATAGATTCAGTCATCGCCTAAAGGACAGATTTCCCCTCAGTGGGATTCACTAATTCACTAATATAAATACAGGTTTCCTTTCATAGCACGGTCTTGAGGGAAGAGGTGAAATCGTTTCCTTCTTCATCAGGTAGATTTTATTTCTGCCTAGTTCATGGCGGGGGCGTGGCCAATTTCAGAAGGTGATATAGAGACACGCTAGAACAGATGTTGACCATGTTGCGGACCCAGTAAGCCTACCTAGTCATGATGCCGGCAAGACTCCACAAAGAGTTGCTTAAAACAGCCACTACCACCACCACCCTTTTGGCTGGCCAAGGGGGATATCACCGAGCCCTCAAAAGAAACACCCTTGGCATGCATCCATTTTTACCAACCATCTCAAAAGTTTATCTCACCCCCAATGGAAGGATGGAGGTGGAGGAGCACATAAGAAGACTTCCTCTGCACAGTTAGGTAGTACGAGGGAGAAGTGAACAAAGAAAAAAGAAAAGAAAAGAAAGAACTATGCAGATCAGCCTGGGATTTCCAAAAGCATTGCATTCTGGGACCTTTGCACCCCAGCATGTGGCCTGCTGGTGTTCGTCATGACAATCAGAAGCCATCCAGAAAAAGACTAGAGTATGTGAATGATATTCCGTTTGACAAGGCACAGTTACTTGCGGAGTCTTAGAATGATTTCCCCAAGACAGCTTTGGGTTTCAGAATGAGCATTTGTTTCAGCTGGCGTTAGGGCAGTCTTATACAAGTAATCGCATTTAGCCAGGTTCCTTCTGTGTTCAGCTGGACTGATCAGTCCTTGGAACTTACCACTCTACTTGCTGACCTGGAAGATAGCGCCCGCGATTGCTGCTGGAAACACCGTGATAGCCAAGCCCAGTGAGCTGACGTCGGTGACTGCGTGGATGCTGTGCAAACTGTTCTATAAAGCAGGTGCCTGCGCGTGCGGAGGTGGGGCAGGGTGGGGGGTTGGCACAGGATTGGCTTTGGGGTTGTCAGCTCCGTCTCCGAGTGTCATCAACTTCGGGGGAAGTCAGAGCAAAGTTATTTCAGATAGAAGTCTGCTTTTTATCAGGAACATTGACTCCAGTGCATCTTTTGTTGTTTTGTTTTCCCCTCTCTGATCTTTTTCTGGGAAATCCTTTTCCTTCACAGGGCCCCACACGTGGTTTCCTCCGTTCAGCTCCTGAACCTGGTCTCTGCATGAATGGTTCCACTCCACAGGTTGGCAGTGAAAGGCAGGCCCGGAAGTAGTACAGTGGTAGGCTTGAGCCCCAGGTGATATAAAGGGCTTGAACGCTTGGCTGCTACCTGCAAGGTTGGAGGTTTGTGTCTACCTGGAGGCCTTTTGGGGAGAAAGGCCCGGTGATCAATTTTCCAAAATAAATCCTCATCGAAGAGCTTAGGGAGCACAATTCTATTGCGACGCACATAAGGTCACCAGGGGTCAGTAATGGCAACTGTGTTCATTTGTGTTTCTGAAAGGGTTAACGAGCCCAGATGAAGTCAGCCGACTATATATTTTCTTGAATAGCCCATTGAAATCATATGTTTGAGGATGTTAATCACTCTCTCTTCCATCATGATTATGGGGGATTATTAGAAGCAGTAACAGGTTCTACAAGCCGGGATTGGAACACATTAAGGATATAGTCATTGGTCCATAGTGATACGTGTCCTCAGCAAGCAATCAAATCTCTCTCTGGTCGTCAGCCTCTTGGACACATGGTCCCTTGGCCTCTGCCCTCCTAGCCCAGGAAGCCCTCCTGTCGTTCTGTCTCACAGTCCCACCATTTTGATGCCTCAGGCTCTGGCGCTTCTGGTCTCAGCCTCCACCACTTCGTACAGAGCGGTCTGGAACATGTCTTTCTGATGGTTCTGGGCATTCTCTCTCTCCTGCTTCAATGAGGAGAGCCAAGTTCATCTGGATGCAAAGCGTATTACCAGATACTTCTGTGCGTTTTGTTGGTATCTACTAGCTGACAGAAATGACCTATTTCTCTAGGAATTTGGATATACACTTGCTCAGTTTCCCCTGCATTTGGAACCCCTGCTCAGAAGCAGATGTAGCATGACCTGTAGTAGCATCTGAAGGGCTCTTCTTTGGCCACACTTGAGTAACATTGCTGGTACTGGATGCACTGGTATCATTCTGCACAATTGTGGATTGTCCCTCCATCCCGTGTTCAAAGGCAGCAGGCAGGACCTCTCAGTGTGTAGACAGCGAGAAGGCTCCTTGTTGGTAGGTCCTCAGGTCATGACTCCACGCTGCCTTCGGTAGGAATGATGGGTGGGTGGTGGCTGTGGCGCATTAAGTCCACAGGGAAGACCCTGCTGGGCTCATCATCTCCGTAGAATGAGGACTGGGTCACTTCCGACTCTCAGCCTCTCTGGAGTCCTTTCATCTGCCTTCCCCTGAAGCCAAGCTTCCTCTGAGAATGGTTAGCTGATACTTCAAGCAAGGATTTAAAGCACATGTTAAAATCTTGCCTGTTTAGCAAAGGGCTTCTGGTCTCCTGACCCATCACTTAGCCACCCTCTCCCTTGTATTGTGAGTGATCGAGCTGCCCCCACCCACCTTGGCCTTTGGATATGCTAGGCATCCAGAGGGTGTGTGTGCTAGCTGCCCCCACCCACCTTGGCCTTTGGATATGCTAGGCATCCAGAGGGTGTGTGTGCTACCAAGTGTCTGCCTGTCTGTGCCCTTGAATGTGCCATCCCTCCTTGACAAAAGTGACCACATTAAGCTCGCTCTTTACAGAACTGAGCCTCTGGTGGCAGCAAAGGTTGGCAGTGATCCTTCTCCGCCTGAGCCTGCAGCTGCCCAGAGTTGCAGGAACGGGTCTTGGGATCGACTTTTTAATTCCATGACAGGGAGGGGGCTCATGGCAGCTGCCCAGAGTTGCAGGAACGGGTCTTGGGATCGACTTTATGATTCCATGACAGGGAGGCGGCTCGTGGAGGGGACGCAGAACCACAGAGCATGTGCTGTGACCACACTCCTCTACCCAAAGCCACCTCCATCTGTTTGGTGTATGCTTCTGGATATCCCCAGCCTGGCCTGCAAGAAAGTTCCATGTGTGTTCCCACCGGTTTGTGCTGCATTGATCTCCTTTCTCGTGAATGAAAAAGCTGATTGAAGTCCCTGGGTGATAACGATGGTTAACATACTCTGCTCTTGAGGGAGGGGTTGCTGGTTCAAATCCACCCGAGGGGCCACAGTGGAAAGCCTGGGAGCCCCCTCTGGAGAGGTCCCTATGGCAGTCCCTGTGGAGTGCCTTCCTCCTCTGACACGCACAGGTCTCCATGGGTCAGAGTCCACCTGACAGGAATGAGCTTGTACATAAGCTTATCACCCCGTGAAAGCACTCGCCCCCTCTTCCTTCATCCTTCCCTGGGCTCCCTGCGGCCAGGCTCCCCTCCTGGGAGACACCGGGAGTGGCCAGGCCCACAGGACTCCCCTCCTGAGCCCTCACTGTCTCCTGGGGGCTGGGAAGCAGGGGGAGACTGCCCCTCACCTGAGAACCACCCGGGACCAAACTCTCCTCCACTAGGCAGGTGTAAAACACGGACCCTGCCCGTTTAGACCCACGGAAGGGTGGCCGTGCTCTGAAATGCGGTCCCTTGTAACCTCACGTGGGGATGCTTCCAGGAGGGTCGCGTTTTCCTCGGGAAGGCACTGAACGCTGGCCCTTGACCCTGGAGCGGCCACGGAAGGTGGGTCTCTGGCCCTTCCTGTCGGCTTTCCTGCCCGCCGCCATGGGCTTTGGTTCTGCCTGTTTCAGCTTGACCTCAGTCTGGGTGCGATCTTCCTGCGCCCAGGCCTTACAGGAGGCGCTCTGCTCCCGCGGTCATCTCTTAGCTGCCTCCCTCGGAGTTTGCAGAGCGGTAATTTCCAGTTAAATCGTCTTCCTTCTCAGACAGCCAGACACTCTCAGGAGGGCGTGGGAAGGGCACGATTCACCAGTCATTGCTGCGCGGACCCCCAACCCCAGGCGCCTTCAATGTGAGCCAGAGTACAGCCATGCCCCGTAGGGTTTTCCGTGGTGACTCTTCACGTGGAAGCTTCCAGCCCTTGTTTCTGGGTGGGTTTCAACTCCCAACTGGTTGCTTAACAGCTCAGCACACTGATGATTGGAAACATCTTTTGGAAAGAACGGCCAACGCTCTTGGGCTCACCTGGTTAACATGCTGCTCTAAACACCAGAAACGATTCAGCCCAGGTTGGCCCGCAGGATTTTGAAAGCCTGACACCCCACCCTTCCACCCTCCTCTTCCGTCCACCCACACAGGCCTGGAATTTGAGGGAGAGGCAGAGCCAGAGCCAGGAAAGGGTGGAAAACTTGTCCTGCTGGGAGGGCTTGTCCTCCTTGTCCAAGCCAGGCCCCAGGGTGCTTTCACCCCTGTCCGGCCCACATCGCTGGCCTAACTAACCTAAGCTTTCTTGTGGGTTTGTGAGGTGCCGGGGAGTGTCCCCAGACCCAGGGTGACTCCATGCACAGCAGAAGGAAACGTGGCCCCTCTGGAAGCGGCCTGACACGTGTGGTTTGTGGGAGCCCACACGCTAGAGGAGAGCAAATGCGTGCACAGACTTGGGCTCAGGAGAATGGGACCCTACCGGACAGCCCGGTGGTTCGCCAATCATTTTGCCCGGGGGAAGCCTGGCGGGCATTTCCCATCTGTCCCCTTGCGGGCTGGTTTGCTTTCCTAGCACGGCTGTGACCAAGCAGCATTACAAAATGGACCGCGTTAAACAATAGAAATGTAAGTTTTCTCAGTCCCGGAGCCTGAGAGTCTGACATGAGTCCGACTTCAGCAGGGTGTCATGCTGAATGCGTCTGCGTTGGGGGGGAGGGGGGGTGTCTCCTGGTTTACGGCTGCAGTGTCTGTGGGAGCCTCTGTCCCCCTGTCTGATGGATCTGTAAGGTTGCTTGAAATACCTCAGATCTTGGCTTCACTCAATGAAAGAGTTCATGCGGAAGCCTGCTTTGTAATCTAACTAGGTTTTGATGAAGGACAGGACAAGTTTCAGGTTTCATAGTCTCAAAAGAGTACATGCCATGTCATGTAAGTGTGCCATGCTGTGGGGAGGCCCACTGGGGTTCACCACTGGACACAAGCAGCCTCCTGGAACAGCGCACCCGCACGTGTGGAACTGGGGGAGGGATCCCAGGGACTGAGGGGTTGAGGGAGAAAGGGGCAAGAGGCTGCAGAGGGCAGAAGGACTGGGGCCAGAGGCAGTGGCAAGAGCAGGGACCAGAGAGCAAAAGAGCTTGCCAGCACATGCCCCCTGCCTTCATTGTGGCCCACCCCCTGGCTGGGGGAAGGTGTAGTTGAAGGTATTGGTTGACCCCATTGACTGGGTTGAGCCCAACTGGGTGAGATCATGAGCCTGGGCCCAGTTTGGACCATGCAGTTGTACCTCCCACCTGGCTTGGGGCTTGGATTGGAGCATGTTCCATTTGGGAAATTCACAGGTAGTTAATGGTCGCCTGATCTCCTTCCAACCCCTCTAGGGGGCCTTTGTAGGCACAGAAGGGACAACCCCCTGCCTCTATATCTAGCCACCTGACAGATCCATGTTATAAGGACACCAGTCACAGGACCAGGACTCATCCTGCTTCAGGGTGCCCTCCTGCTCACCCGACTGTCCCCATCTTCAAAGGTCCCACTTCTAACCAGGGTGGCACCCACAGGGACAAGGCTTGGGGTTTCCAAGTAGCCTTTGGGAGGAACCCAGTTCCACCTACAGTGGGGACTCACTGCAGCGGGGCCCTGGTGATTGCCAATGTGATCCCGCTAAGGATGTTGCTCTATGGGAAGGTCTGATAGATAGTCATTTGTGCAAAAGATATTTCTAATTTTTATTAGCTGATATATTCTGTTTGTAAGAAGTAATTTGCAAAGAAAATGTCATACTCACTAGCCATGGTTTTAAACTTATTTGGAATTCTCTATGTTAAACACTTATTAGGTAGAAATGAATAAAGTAATTCTTAAAAAAAGCTAAACGACGTTATTGACACATAATTCACATATCACCAGTTCAATAGTTGAGATGTATTAAAAGGAGTTGCATAATCATCACTACAATCAATGTAAGAACATTTTCTTCTTTCTTGTCATCCTAATTTCCCCCCAAACTCCCCTGCCATGCTTCCAAGCAATTATTCACCCAGTGACGGTCCCTAGAAATTTCCCTACCTGGATTTCATATAGAGAATAACACACAAAAAGAAAAATAGAAAGAAAAAGCCAGTGGTAATAACAACATAAAGCATAGAAGAACCTCAATTGAAAAGGTAACAGAAAACAATAAAAAGTAGAACCTATTTAAGGGCCAAAAGGAAGAGCAAATGATAAGAATGGTAGAATTTGTGTGAAATATTTATCTATACTTCAAAAGCGATTCTTGAAGAGAACAAATTTAATCCCAGATAGTACTTACCTAAAGGGAAGGAAATGCCTTACCCTGAGCAAGGGGAAAATACTAGGAGCAGGGAAGGGGTTGAAAACCATTCCCCAGGGAGGGTTTCTGCACCCACTGTAGGTCCAGCTTGGGGAGGTAATGGTAATAAATCAGCCCCCCAGGCAGACCCCAAGAGCTGGACACAACACAATTTTCCATAGGATATTTTGTCTGGAAAAGCCTTCCAAATTCCAGAAACATCTTTAATTTGTGTAATGTGCATTAAGCATCCATCCATCCATCCATCCATCCATCCATCCATCCATCCATCCATCCATCCATCCATCCATCCACCTACTTACTTATCACCCTGCTTCTTTGCCACCTACTGCATGTTGTTAAACCATTTGTCTTGCTTTTCTCATTGGTCAGGGAGGTTGGCACTAATACATCTCCATGGGTTGTTGGGAAGCCTGCGGCGCACCTGTTGAATCTGGTGTTGTTCGCGCAGTCATGACGGCGTGACACCACCTGACAGAGAAGAATGGTCCCCATAGGACTTTCTAGGCTTGAAGCTTTACAGAAACTTCTTTTGTCCCAAGGAGCCCCTGGGTGGGTTCCAACGACTAACCTTTTGGTTAGCTGTCAAGTGCTTAATGGTCACACCAGGACATACATCATGCACAGCAATGGGAGCACCCCAAATGTGAGCACTTACTGGGGTTGAATCTGTGCTGAACCTGAACTAGGCCACAGCCCAGGAGATACAGCAGAGTGTACATTCTGTTTGTGGGCAGGTGTCTATAAACAAGTAGATCCATCAATCAAACCCACTGAGAGACTGTTGGGTAAAGGAGGGCTGCTCCTTAGGGCTTGGGAGGCCTTAAATCATTGTCAGAGTAGACAGCCAGATCTTTCTCATATGGAGTAGCTGGCGGGGTGGAATCACCAACCTCCGGATTAGCTATGCAGTGCTTAACTCACTGTGCCACCAGAGCTCACCAACTCCTTAGATGCCTAACAAATATATGAAGATAGGGTGCAATAGGGTCTTGTGGTAGAAAAGAGGGGGGCATTGACTGGAAATGTGCTCAGTCCTTGGCAACCAGTGCTGGTTTGAAAGCACCCATCTGCCTGCCACAAGGCTTCGAACTCACAAGTCACCTTCCTGAGGGAACTTTCTCCTGTCCCCTGACCCCCTCTCATCCACGACAGTCCTTCTCTCCTCTGCGCCACAACTACTGTTACAGTTACCTAACCTGGACCATTTCACACAGAACAGAGAAAGAACAACTTGGAGGAGGGCACTCCTGCCTGACTGGCCTTGACTTGGGTGAGCCTTCCTTGTACCCTCAACAACTCAGCCCTCATCAATATTATGGAATGTTCTAGGCAAGAGTGTTCTAAGCAGAGCACCCAGAGAAATCTCACCTAGTGTGCACACTGGCAGAGGTGACTCTGTAGTCTTTGTTGTTGTTGTTGCTGTTGTTATTGTTAGGTGCCAGTGAGTCATTTCTGACCCATAGTGACCCTAGGCACAAGAGACCAAAACATGGCCCGGTGCGGGGCCGCTCTCACGGTGGTTTCTGTGCCTGAGCCCATTGTCGCAGCCATGGTGTCCCTCCAGCTCCTGAAGGGCCTTTTTGCTGCCCCTCCACTTGACCAAGCATGATGTCCTTCTTCAGGGACTGGTCTCTCCTGACAGTATGTTCTCCTGGCATACAGTCTCTCCTGACTCTATGTCTACAGTGTTCCCTTTGTTATTAAACTCCAAAGCTAAACAGAAACCAAACAACATCCAATGAGTCAGTTCCAGCTCATAGTGACCCTCTATGGCAGGGGTCTTCAAACTATGGTCCACGGGCCACATGTGGCCCGCCCAGGACATTTACCCGCCGGGTGTTTTTGCCCCGTTTTGTTTTTTTACTTCAAAATAAGATGTGTGCAGTGTGCATAGGAATATGTTCATAGTCTTTTTTTAAACTATAGTCTAGGCCTCCAGTGGTCTGAGGGACAGTGAACTAGTCCCCTGTTTAAAAAGTTTGAGGACCCCTGCTCTATAGCAGTGGTTCTCAGCCTTCCTAATGCCATGACCCTTTAATACAGTTCCTCATGTTGTGGTGACCCCCCCAACCATAACATTATTTTCATTGCTACTTCATACCTGTAATTTTATTACTGTTATGAATCGGGCGACCCCTGTGAAAGGGTAATTTAACCCCCAAAGGGGTCGCGACCCACAAGTGGAGAACCGCTGCTCTATGGGGTTTCCAAGACTGCAAATCTTTACAGAAGCACAATTTCATCTCCCCCATGAAGTGAGTGGTAGATTTGAACCTCTGGGCTTGTCATTAGCTACCCGACAGCTAGTCCCCAGTGCCCCCAGGGATCTGTGCAAGGTCCAGGAGCTACGTCACCCACCACGTCCTCTTCCTCTCCCATCGCAGCTGTTTCCAAAAGCACCTCCGTGTAACCTGAAGTCCGTCACACATAGACAGGAATTACTCTAACTGGCATGGTTTTGCATCCAGGGGTCCCACCAGGTGTGGTCAACATTGTGTTTGGAACGGGGCCCAGCGTGGGTGAGGCCCTGGTGTCCCATCCAGAGGTACCCCTGATCTCCTTCACGGGGAGCCAGCCCACGGCCGAGCAGATCACACGACTGAGCGCCCCACACTGCAAGAAGCTCTCACTGGAGCTGGGGGGCAAGAATCCTGCCATCATCTTTGAGGATGCCGACCTGGAGGAGTGTATTCCAGCAACCGTCAGGTCCAGCTTTGCCAACCAGGTATGTCTCGTGGCCTTTTCCCCCTCGGTGGTCCTGTCAGGCGGGATCATTGTAGGGGACACCTCAGGCAAGGACTAGGTCCATCCAAGGCTATTTCCCAAAAGGAGAATCTCGGCATCGTGCGTTATTCTGTCGACTCTCTGTTCAGTCTCAACATTAGTTGCTGACCTTGGAAAGTCACCGGTTCCCCTATGGAGTTATGCCTCTCCCACCCTCCCGTCGTTATCAGACATGGGCCGCAAGGACTGGTCTCTGCTGCTCCCACCTGCTCCGCCCCTTATTCGCATGGTTGCCCAGTATGTTATTGCCATCCAAATGTAAGCTTTATTCTCCTCCCAAAGCATCGTCAACGGACCGACACAGCGAGTGCCTGTGTGAAATGCTAACTGCCAAATGACCTAGACATCCCTCGAGACTGTAGTCCTAAGCCCTTATGTTCAATGAGTCAATCCCTCAAGGTATTTGGTTATAACTAAATAGTTTTTATACTTTTCATCCTGCATGTTCTACCATGTGTATGCAGCACGTAGACATAGCCTCTGTCAAACACACACACACACACACACACACACACTCACACTCACACACGAGCATACTCCTCTGTGCTATCCCATATCTGTTCATCTTGCATATCCACCGATGTGTCCACTTACACATTGCTGCTTGTGATGATAGTTATTGTAGGATTGAGTATGTACTAGCATTTACATTTTTCCTTTTACTCTTGTGTTCTTCCCCGTTACTTCTTTTGCCTTGGTTATGTTTTGCTAACCACCACCCTTGTCATATATAACCTTTCCCTTCATTCAAGTTAATGTGTTTCTATCTTCTGGTTAATGACTTCACGCCTTACTCCTCTAACCCTAGTGACCATAGAAGAAGAGTTACTTCTGTATGTGAACCTTTTCTTGGCTTTCTGCAGTAATGACCTTATACAGTGCTTGTCCTTTCGTGATCGACTGCTTTCCTTCAGCATGATGTCCTCCAAGTTCACCCATGCTGTGCGATATCTCATGGACTGATCACATTATTCTTGCATGTTGCATAGTGTTTCGTTGTGTCTGTGTACCCTAGTTTGTCTGTCCATTCATTCACTGATGAGTACTATAAGAATGGTATTGGGGCAGCATCTGACCTCCCCTGACTTCACAACGAGGAAGGAGAATCAAACTTACTATCAGCTTATTCCTGCCCGCCTCTGCTCTAGTCGGTAGACATGCGTCCACTCTCCCACCTTCTTTATTAATTCTGACACTATCTCCCCAGAGGCACCTCTGCTTCTTTGCTAGTTATTCACTGCAATGGCCTTACAGACATAATAGACAATACCCAGGATTATGGGGGCGTTAGGGAAGTTAGCAGGTTACAGTTCAGGATCAGAAATGCCCAGGATATGGTTCTTTTGGACAGGAGCACCCCTTCTCAGCCATGCCCTCTCAACCATGGGGTCTCTTGACCCCTGTCTTGCTCAGGCAATCTTACATAACTCCTAGTGCTGCTGATAAATGCGCAAAAGATGTGCCGCTGTGTCATAAGCCTCTGCCTGAAGGTGCTCAGCTGAAGCTACATGGGTCAGCAAACCTAGCTACCCCAATGAAGTGTCTGGAGGTAGCCTACTCCAAAAGTGAGCCTCCTGCCCACAGAGACTTGGTTTTATTTGCATAGTTGGTGGGGAAGCCCATTGCTCTGTCTTGCACTCTGACTTTGGTTCTGCTGCCTCTATTCCTCTGCCATGCCTCTCCATTCATGGCTCTCCATCTCCTGGAATGAGGAGGTTTAGCACACAGAGATCTCAGGGGTCTTCTCTCTTGATGTAGTGAGATCTCCTTTTCCTGCTTCTGAAATGGCTCCTTTTATGCCCAGCAGGGTGACACAATCGACCACTCCCGTGTTAGAGTTCTCAGTTTTTTACAATCACAGCTTACCCTGACAACAGTCACAACCGAATCATATACTTTGATCTGGCCTTTCTCTTACCCATACCTATTGGAAAAAGAGGAACCATCCCAATCAGGTCATGATGCCTGAATCACGTGGTGGGCGTTACAAAGACACTGCCTAGAAGAGCCATATCAAGTACGTCCCTGCACCACATGCCCTTAGATTTATTCCTTGCTTTGGCTGTTGTGAGTGGTGCTGTGATCGACATGAGTGTGCGAGTGACCTGTGACAGCTCTTGTTTCTCTAGGATCTACACTTGGTAGTGGAACTGCTCGGTCATATCGTATCTCTATTTCAAACTTCTTGGGGAAGCACCCACAATATTGTTTTCCGCTGTGCTTGTGCCATTTTGCAGTTCCTGACTGCAAACTGGGAAAGATAAGCCATCGTAGGATTATTATGAGGAAAGCATCCTGCACAGTCCGGGGAATGTATTAGTCACTCAGGAGGTGCGCTTTCCCTTTTCCCATTTCCTCTTATCATCCTCATTGGGCTCATAGTATTTACCCACACTTTTCTGGATCTTACTAAATTTTACACCCAGTGATTTTATCAATCTCTCCTTCCCCAAATGGTACAGGGCCCTTGTACAAATTCACCATCCGGGATTCTCACATTTCTCAGCCCAGATATGCAGACAGTTATAATAGCAATCAATATTTACAGACACTATATAATTTGGATAATGCATATTTGTACCAGTATCAGGATAATTAGGAATACCCTCTTTCTGAGGAGTACTGTGAATATCACATATACACGCAATGAAAATAGTTGTGTGTGTATTAATTTATAATAAGCTACATCATGGTTTGAAATGTCTAGAGTGTGGTGTGTAAAGTATCACCTCCTGTAGTCAAAGGGCAGGGTTGTTTTCCGCACAGAAACCAGCCGCCCTCTGCACCCTCGGCATCGCTGTCTGTAATTGTGGTGTGCCGCTGAGTGGAGTCTGACTCGGTGTGGCCCTGCAGGACCACAGTCTTTCTGAGAGCAGATCTCCACCTCTTTTCTCCCACAGGGCCACCTTTCCATCAGCAGATAACCCTTAACCAGATGCTACCTGCCTCCTTTCATGTCTATCTGGCATCTGAAAGCTAACGTCCCACGCCTGGCTCCTGCCTGCGTTCCCTCACCCTGCCCTGGGCACCGCTGCTCTTTTGGTCTCGTGTTTGTTTTCCCAAAGGATGGCACTAGCTCCTGCACCTTCACCCAGGCCCCAACCTGGGGATCGTCCTTGTGTGCGGGTTCGCTTTCCCTCACACCCTGTCTGCACCCCCAATCTGTCTACAAACCCGGTTGGTTCTCCCTTTCAATATCCCTGAACCCCATCACTTACTCATATTTTATGCCAGTCTCCTTCCCGGGGGTCCCCGCTTGTTTACATATTCGTTGAGATGGGTGAACCCTTACCGTCTTTCTTCCTCTCTGTTGGGGTACTGGAGCTTTGAGCCAAGCTACCGGTTACTTCTCAGGACTCCCATAACACTGGCTGCCTCCACTCGAGTTCCCCTCCGTTCTGTTCTCCACACAGCTGCCTGACTGATCACGGGGAATGTAGATCAGATTTGGTCACTTCGTTGTGTGAGACCTCCCAGGGTCTCTTCACGATACTGTGCGGCCATTGCCTTCCTCACATATTGCCTTCGTCTCCTACCATACACGTCCCAATACCCACCTGCACCCACCCTCAGCCACACTCACCTTCTTGCTCTTCCTCATACTATAAACTCATTCACCTACCCCTGATCCTTCCTGAGTATCTGCTGCCACTAGATGAGTGGTTCTCAACCTGTGGGTCGAGACCCCTTTGGGGGAGTCAAACGACCCTTTCACAGGGGTCACCTAACACCAAGGGAAAACATGTATTTCCAATGGTCTTAGGAACCAAGACACTGACCCTTTATCCGTTTCTGAGACACTGCTCCTCTCTCCGTCTCCAGGTGAGTCTGCCTACATGCAGATAGGCCCACATACAAGTAACCAGCGTGAAGACTGTTACCCATGCTACACCACGCTTCAAGACAAAATTTCATTGATTTATCATTAGAAATAAATATTTCACGATATATAATTACATATTGTTTTGTGATGAATCACTCTGCTTTCATGATGTTCAATTTCTAACAATGAAAATACATCCTGCCTATCAGATATTTACATGATGATTCATAACAGTAGCAAAATGACAGTGATGAAGTAGCAATGAAAATAATTGTATGGTTGGGGGTCACCACCACATGACAAACTATGAAAGGGTCACAGCTTTAGGAAGGTGGAGAACCACTGTGCTAGATCTTTGTCTGCCCAGCCTCTTCACATCAATCAAGTGTCCTTTCAAATGTGCCCTCGCCACAAGTGCCTTCTTGCCTCTCTGGGGTACAATAGCTCCCCTGCACCAGTTTCTGATTCCATCCTTTGCTTAACGGATCTCTATTGATTTGGGGATTTTTTTTTTAATAACAGGTCTTGTGTCTGCCGGCCTTATTTGATTGTGTGTTCACATGGCAGGGACTCTGCTGGCCTTGCTTTCCGCAGCATCCGATCACCTCGAATAGTGCCTGCCACTCAGCAAGTGCTTACAGGTGCAGACTGATCTGGCTCTTGAATGAGCCATATTTATATATAAGGTTTTTGAATCAGTAGACATAATACAATTTGCTTTCAAAACAGGCAAGTATGAAAGCAAACATTTAAACAAGTGTGAGGTTTTAGAGTCCTCATGAGAGAGGGATGAGTTTGTAGCATGAGAAATCATCTTGTCATTGTTCTTGTGTGTCCTTCTGGCAGGGAGAGATCTGCCTCTGTACCAGCAGGATCTTTGTCCAGAGGAGCATCTTCAGTGAATTTTTAAAGAGATTTGTCGATGCTACCAGAAAGTGGAAAGTTGGCATTCCCTCCGATCCCTCGGCCAGCATGGGCGCACTGATAAGTAAAGCACATTTGGAGAAAGTGAGTATTGTCTGCCATGTGACTTAGGGAGAGAGTTCTCACTTGGAGAAAGGCTTCGTGCAAGCCTTTCTGTGCTTTGAAATACTGCGAATCATTACCTTCCTTGGAAAAATTATGATCTGTGTGCTGTCTGGGCACCAAGTACAATATTCTGGATTTTAAGCAGCATCCACATGCAATGAAAGCATTTCAGAATTCAGTGTGGAGACACTACCAGCAGAATTGGAAAGGAAAATTTCAGAACCTAAATGCCGGCTCAAAAATTCCCTAGGGAAATGGTGTTATTGTAATTTGTAGCAGATGGGCTTCAGAAGTGTCAGCACAAACAGTCTGAAGTGTACGCTCTTTAGTCTATGGGGTGCTCAGTGGTGACCACTGGGAGAGGCCATCAGGCCCTCTGAGTGATTTATGGAGTTAAGAACTTTAGGGTCATTTACATTAATTCCCATCATGAGATTCCCAGGCTAGAGGTCCTTGTTTTATATTTGCAATAAATGATACTCACTAAGGGAGACCTCCCCCGCATCAGTGAGCCAATAAGGGACAGGCCTTTACTTATAGAAATTTCTGACACTCCCAGATCTAGGACTGATTTCTTACACGTTCGCTTTAACCTCCACTAGATTGTAAATCACAGATGCTTGTAGTTGGGAAGATTTTCGTAGATTCACGGTCTCTTCCAGTTTCTTCTGTTGCCTCCGCAGAACAAGAAGCAGGGTTTCCTGCTGAGTGTGAACGGAAGAGCTGGTGCTGAAGGTGTAGGGAGGGAGACAGTGGGCAATGGTCTTGCAGGAGTGGGGAGAGTGGACGGACTCAGAAGGGACAGTGGGCTGGGGCAGCTCAAAGGGCCCACTGGTGGCCTGGGGGCCTGGCTGTGGGACTTCCTCCAGGCACATTCCCCTGCAGGGCTGTTGGCTCATAGGCAATTCCCACAGTGCCCAGGGAGTGGATGATCCCGAATTCCTGGATTTGGGATGTTACCAGGGGCCAGAGACTTCCGTGTCCTTTCTCCCCCCAGACTCTTCTGCTCACTGGGGCTGCCAGCTGCCCTCCACACTCGCACACATTGCCGAACACCAGCTCAGCACGGGTGCTATTGTGAGAGAAGGTGGCCAAGGGTGGCCCTCAGAGCTGAGGTCCCCTTGACGATTCACTCCCTCACTAGAGAGCCATGTGCTCCGGGTTAACTCAGCCCCTAAACGGTTTCTTTTTCTTTGGGCATTGCCATGATTAAACACATTAATGTGTCCAGCTAGGTAATTTGAAAACTCCTTTCACATCCTCCTCACTCCTTACACACACACTATCTCTGTGGATGTGTGTGTGTGTGTGTAGAAATTGACCCACACATGGACTCATTGGTAGCAATGGATTTTTTTTCCCTGTCATACACTGAATATTTATTCATTTTGAGTAACTGAATAAATGTAGGCCTTTTTATAGGCTCAACAGGTTTCAAAGTATCATAATTTGGGCAGGGTTTAATGAATGCCTGTGGTGCTCAGCATGGCTGCAGAAGCCCATTCTGCCCAACTCTCTTCGTTCCTCTGAGCTTTCCCTCAGGCACCCCCTGACCATCCCTGCTCTCTGCAACGAACTGCCTAGCCCCTGTATACTTTCCTAGAGCTGCTGTAACAGAAGTACTCACATTTCTATCCGTTAAGTTCAGATCCGGGCCTTGGCCTTGCTAACTCCTTCCTTGTGGTTAGCCCTGGACATTCCTTGGTTCCTTGGCTTGTAGACAGTCCTCACGTGGCATCTGTGTGTCTTCCCCAGTGTGTGTGTATATGTGTGTGTGTGTATTTGTGTGTGAGCGCATGCTTCTGTATCTATTCTGATCTTTTTGATAACTCAGAAGTTGTTAGAGCCTATCCTACTCAGGTATATTTAATTCACATAACAAAGAAAAAGTCTATTTCCAAACAGAATTACATTCACAGGTATAGGAGTAAAAATCCCAACACATATTTGTGTGTGTGTGTGTGGGGGGGGATTGAATTCCCAATGGGTTCTTTCATTGTGGAGTCCTGCTTCATTTTAGGGGAGCAGAGTAACCCAGCCCGCAGCTGGCTCTAGGGGTGCCCTTAGATGACCCCTTAGGGAGCCCAGAGATAGGCTGATTCTACCCAAGAGTTGACAACCTCAAACCTTGCGGTGGCTGGCTCCCATGCTGCTCTTTTAGGAACGGTCTTGCATTGAAGTTATTTTTTGTGCAGTCCTATGGGTTTTGACAAAGGCATAATGCCATCTGTCCAGCCTAACAGTGCCATGCAGCATAGCTTCACTGTCGTAAAAAAATTTTTTTTTAAAATCCCCTAGTGAAGCTATTTTTAAACGTTGCTCAGATATCCTAGTTCTTTTATCAAGGGCTGCGATGCATCCTGTCATAGCCCACTTTGATCAAGTCAAAGCCAAGTCTTTAAAAGGACCTCGGATGCAGTTCATGGCCTGCGTCTGGTATCCCTGTGACCCCCGCCCTTCCCTGTTCCTCTCCTTCATGCTGGCCTCCTTATTCTTTGAAAACACCGGCCGTGTTCCGACACGGGGCCTGTGCTCTTCCTCCTGACACTGGCTCGGCTCCCTCCTTTTCCTCCTGAGACTCAATGTCCCCTTCCCAATGCGGGCTTTCCTGCCCGCCCTACAGCAAACCAGCCTTTCAGCATGCTCTCCCGTTCCCTGCCTTATTTCTTTGGGGCCTTCATGCCGTTTGACGCATGGCCTCTCTTCCTTACCTCTTGGCTTATGGACTATCTTGGTGACTAGAATGTAAGCTTAGTGGTCAGTGGTCAGTTTTACTTACTACTGTGTCCTTTCCCAAACCAACAAACAAATAAACAACCAAAAATCCACTCGACCAATACTGTCAAGTGATTTCCAACCCTCGGCGAGCGCATGTGTGTCAGAGCAGAAAGACCTGTGCTCCATCGGAGTTTTAAAGACGGATTTCTCCGAAGTAGCTCAGCAGGTATTTCTTTCAGGATGATTCTGGTTGTGCTCAAGCTGCCAACCTTCCATCCAATAGCTTGAGCCTTTGCAACACTCAAGCCTTTGTTATATCCTCAGGCTCTAGAATAACGTGCCGGTGTTGTGGGTTCAAATAAAGACAGCCACTATAATGTCTTGAAATTTAGAAGAGTCTTTTATTCGGTTATAACCGGACTGCAAGAATCTAAAAGTTGCTCTTTGGTTTCAGTCCCAAGGGGACATTTCAGTGAGTTTATAAAGCCCCAAACTCACCTCTCATTCATGATGGACTTTCCTAGAGAGCGAGCAGGTGTGGCAAAAGCAGAGAGCAAAATTAGTGCTGTTATTCTTTATAGAGTCAGTGAGCATTACAGGGCCCAGCATTGATGAGAACACCCTGGCCAATAAAATAAAAATAAGGATATCCTGGTTACAACATCAAAAGGAATGCTATTATTAATTATAATGTTCTAATCTGGAGAACATAAGAGTACATTCTAAAATCAATCAGTAGTGAGACTCTTTGAGATGGGAGGGGGAAGGAGGCAGGTCATTCAGCAGTCAACAAGATGGCGTTACAGTGGCTCTTGCTAGCCTGTCTACCTGGAACATAGTAAGTGCTCAGTCTGTGTTTGTTGAGTACGCGCTTGGGAAAAGGCCATTATCAGTGATTGTAGGCATTCTTCAGGCTGTGAATGTCTACCTTCAACCTACTGCCCATAAATCTCACTGCCATGAGTCCCTTCGGACTCACAGTGACTCTGTAGCACACAGTAGGACTGCTGCTGTGTGTTTCTAAGGCAGTGTGTTTTTATGGGCGCAGAAAAACCAAAAACCAATAAAACCCCCAAACTCACTACCTTCAAGTCCACACTGACTCCTAGTGACCTCTGTGGGTTTCTGAGACTGTAACTGTTTTCGGGAATAGAAACCCCAGTCTTTCCCCAGCAAACCTGGAGGGGTTTCCAACTGCCGACCATGTGGATCATAGCCCAGTGTGTAACCACTACACCATGAGGCTCCTGGGAGCAGAAAGCCTCATCCTTTCCCATTGAGCAGCTGACCTTGAGGTTAGCAGTGCAATTTATAACCCATCACCATAGCACCAGGATTCCCATGAAGCCTATTATATTAAAGTTTTGAGGCCTCTACAGTAGTTTGTAATAATGAACAGATTCTATTTTGTGGGGAGCACCAAAACCTCATTTACTGTATAATTGTGTCCAAAATGTTTTGATGTATCTTGCAATATTTTTCTGATGAGCATTACACCGAGGCTGGAGGAAGTTCACAGATGCATTTCCCAGGAGAGCCAGTCTTGTGGTCCCACCATCTTCAGTGGTCAGGTAAAGAAACGGACTCGCAGAGTGAGGGGCATCTGTAAAGTCTAGTCAGCTCAGGCATCCTCCCTGTCCTTCATCGTCCTCACTGTCATTTCTAGCAACAGTAGCAGCTGTTACTCCACATGAGGCTAAATTGGTTACACCTTTTCTTTTATTTAACCTTCTACTTAATTTAAATCCCATGTGTAAGG